AATTAAATGTCCTATAACAAATACAAAATGGGAATATTASCAGAAGAGAAAAATAGACGAAACTATTTCAATAAATAATATGAAATTATAATAGTAAATTTTTAAATATATTACAATACATTTCTTTGTCTAAAGCCTCTCCTCAAGATATTCACACTAAATGCCTCAGCCCTTTATTATCTGGCTGGGCCACAGCACGCTACACCTGCTGACCCTTACCTACCCCAACTGCCAGTGCTACCTGTTCGTGTTTGTTCCACATTTCCGAAACTGGTTTGCGCCCAATAGCAGCAACAGAAACAAAAGCAAAGGCAAAGCGGTAGATGGTGAAAAACATGTTGATACACACTTGCACTTTCTTTCAATTAGTTTGTTTGTTTTTGATTTTTGTTTTTCGTTTTGGGTTTTGCTTTCGTTGGCGGCTTTTAATACCCTAATTATCGCATATTTAAGCCGAGCCGCTGGCAGTGGGCGTGGGTGCTGGCGCTGAGAAGCTTCCAATTATGGTGCGGCTCGCGTGACTGTCAGCTGTCAGCGCTCCAGCGCCATGGCCAGCGGCAAATCTCGATGAAAGGCGCCGTTATGTTGGCGGCCAGCCATCAAGATATTTGGACTTTTGAATTCTTAAGTCGCTGTCGCTGGTCCGCCCCAGTCAGTGCGACGCTGAACGTTGATCAGATCATGTGGCGGCATTCGAATTGTCTGTGTCTGCTCCTGCTGAGCCAACTAGCCTTTGCCCTGGCTGTCTACGAGCAGTGCAACCATCAGCTGGAGCTGCAGGCTGGCCAGAAAATCTACATCAATTCGCCCTACTATCCTGGCCAATATCCGCCGGGCAGCTCCTGTCGCTATGCGCTGCAAGCGCCCAAGGATCATGTGCTGCACTTCAAGTGCGATCTCCAGCTGCAAACGGTGGGTTATCGGGCATCATTGATGGATACAGTGCGGGGATGAGCTTGTGAGAGTGCTGGTGATTTGATGATAAGGATCGTAATTAAAGTGAATGCAGTGAGAGTGTGTGACGCTATATTAAGGATAATCAATGGGATATCCTGAACTCGTGCCAGTGAAACTTTGTGTTGTGATGTTAAGACAAACTTTAAGAAAGAATGAAATTTTAATGCAAAAAGAAAAAAAATTTAATAAAAAAATTATATATAAAAATTATATCAGTGAAAGATGATCTTGTTTTAAAAACACAACTGCAGCACAGAATACTAATTGTGATTTATTTAGTGATTTTAAAAAATAATGTTCTGTTTAAATAATCCTTTATATGGAGGCAAGTCTGGATAGAAGCTTTTATGGGCTAAGCTAAGCTAACATTTCTTATAACTCCAATAAAATAAGAAGTGTGTGCATGCCTTGAAGATCAGCGACAAGTCTCCTACAAGTCGATCCTTTCTCCAATTCACCTATCTAACTTAAGTAATGTGTGATCTACGATGTGTTGTCCGCTTTATATTCACAGTAAATTCAGCTGGATTTCTAATTTTTGCTCAGCTCAGCTGGCCCAAAAGCATCTGTGTTATATAAGAAGACATTTAAACGTGCTTTCTGTTTAGCAAATAAATAAATAAAATTAAAGTTTTTCTTTTATATATCGCATAGTTTGTATTCATATTTAAAAGCTATTTTATAGCTACACAAAAAATAAAATATGAATACAACTTATGCAATAAATTTATAAAAAATTTTTAATTTAATTAATTTTTTATGTATTTATTTTTTCAGTTAAAAATTCTAATGCTTGTAATTAATAAATGTTTATTTCTTTGTTTTTTGTTTTTTTTTCTTAATAATTTGCATATTTTATTAAGTGCATTCGGCTACCTTTACTGACAAATAAATTAGTTTTATATCAACATATAAATTTTTTGAAGGCAATTTTCATTCCCTCTGATTATTGACTCACATCAAAATGAATAAACATACATAAACATAATTTATGTATATATTTTAATATAATAATCGTATAACAAATATAAAAAATATATACATATATCAACATTTTTACATATGCTCATATGTTCAATAGTAATCTCCCCTTATCATTCAGCTTTCATTTCAAGTTCCATATTTCCATTCACATTCAATTTTTACAGGATATCTTATTGTCATGGTTCGTTAATCTGTTAATTGTTGCACAATTGTTTTTTTTACTCCCTATTTTTTTATTCTCTGCTGTCTCACAGCTGGTGAAGGACACGCGCTGTCGCGCTGAGGTGTTTCACTTCAATGCCGAGGGCGATGAGCTGTTGACGAGCTCCGAGTACTTCTGTGGCGTTGGCAAGTTTGAGCGGCAAAGTTTTCTGAATCGTGCCGTGATTTCGTACATATCGCAGCGAAAGGAGGTGCCAAAGTTAAGGGATAAGCTGCCAACGCGAATCACAAGCCCCAACAGGACCAGCACGAGTACCACAACGAGTACAACAACAACAACAACCACAACGACAGAGGCAGTCCCATTGGAGCTGGATGAGGATGAGAAGGAGGCCAGCGAGCCGTATGAAAATGTTGCTGATAATGATGATGATGCCGTTGATTCTGAGGCTGATGATGATGATGATAACTTTTCGAACGAGGTGCTGCACGTGCTGCAGGATGTGGGCGTTAGCGATGCCCTGGCTTACGTTGCCTCGCTGCTCTACGACGACTCCAACAATGGTCGTCGAATTGGCAGCACGCCCGCCTCAGCTAACTTGGCCCAGTTGCCAGGGGGGCGCACTGTACAGGCTTCCGCAAAACGTGCCAAAATTCTGCCCATTTATCCGCTGGCCAGCCCGTCGGTGGCAGCGGCGGTGGGCGGTGGTGGACGCTTTTCGTGCCTCGTCGAAGCCTTAGCGCCTAATTGCAACTGCGGCTGGAGTCTGACACAAAGAATCGCCAGTCCAACAAACGACGAGGCTTCGCTGCACGAGTTTCCCTCCATGGCCGGCGTGCTGACCAAGAAACAGGGCAAGGTCTTCTGCGGTGCAGCAATCAGTAAGTGTAAAATAAAATTTGGAATAATATAAATAAATATTTTAACTAAAAACAAAGAAAAAA